TTGACACTGCCACCTCCATATTCAGACAACCAGAGTTCTTCCTACCATCCGCGCCCATATTCATGTATCTCTCTTCTTTTACATTCCTTCATTCAAGGGTAGTTTCCCACCCATCAAGTAACAATGCATGTGGAAACAAGGTTAACCACTGAACGTAGTGTCTTCCTTTTTCCAATTAAAAAATAACTGTATTGTCAATGCTCATAGATCACGATAAAGACAATTTGCCCCATGACGGTTAGAATGTGTTTGTCACTTTAAGTATCACTATCTCACAATACCATGAAATTTATGTAATCACTTAATCACAATGAAGAAAAGAAGTGGTTTGATCCACCCCCCCCCCCCCCCCCGTGGAACACTCAGAGGACACACATTTGAAGCTCGTCCGCCGTCATTCTCATCCAGTTTTCACAGGTGTGACTACAAGCCACCACCCCTTTCCCGTGTGCCATTGCAAGCCTGTGTAGTGACTGATGGCTGCAATACCAACTTGAGAATCACTCGTGGGAGCGCGGCAAGATGACCTTATTAAAGTATAGATCCCTCCGCCTCCCCTAAGGGCCACTGAGTTGAAATATCTAGTCTGACCTGATGAATCTTCATTTTACCTGGATTCCCATGGGGTTCTTCGTACTTGCACAGCACCGTACCAATGCATTTTCTTTATTAAAAAGAAATCCACGGAAAATGATCTATTTTTTCATCCTTCATAATAACCATTGAGGAAACTTCCTGAAAATACCAGCACTCACTAGCGTGTGAGTGATAGAAACATTTCTAACACCACCCAAAAACATAATATGTATATTCTTATGAACGCCAGGCTGGAACAAAACATGAAAAATGAATCCTTATGTATTTCGTGTAAAACCCATCCCTCAGCTTTTAGAAAAATTCATGAGGCTAAAACCAGAATTTTAAACCTCTAATTTAACTTCAGCTTTTCATGATTCCATTACCAGATTAGGAAACAGACCTAGAAATATACAGTGATGCTGGTTATGGACTGAGAAGCTAGCTGTTCTAAATAAATGTCAAGCTTTGTCTATGATATCATCAGCTGCCTTTGTTCCCTCTCTGCCTCTCTCTCTCTTTCTCTCCCTTTCTCTAACCAGAAACACAATTGACTTCAACTATTCCTTGCTTATTGCTGTCCAAAGATAACTGATACTTTGCTTGAGTGCCAAGTTTTTCTTTCGTGTTTCAAATTTTCTTTGCAACCTTTGGCTTCTTGTGGGGTATTTTGTTTTCTCTTCAAACTCAGTCGTTTGGAACAAAGCAACAAAATGAAACCTTCAGCATTTGTCTCTGTAGTACATAGTTGATGGTTGGTTAAACCACATTTTTCCTTAAACATCACTTTCAGCTAATACTTGCACAATATATGACGCTATCAGTTTTTGCTCTGTGACCTTGCAGCTTGTATTATACCTTCAAGCAAATGTTTTACATGTGATACTAAATCTATTGAGACATATTAAGTAACATGTTACACTCTTACGATCACAACAGACATAACTATTGTCATATTGAAGAAAAAAATTCTACAACCAACAAATGCCTTCAGCAATGGAAAAGCAATTATTGACATCTTAGTCAAGATCATTTTTTTTCCAGTTGTCCTAAAGTGAAATTATTTGCCACACTGAATATCTTATTTGGATAGCAAGGGATTATGAGAGTTACATCCTAATATAGGAAGTAAATCTCTCCATAATTTTCATTCAACAGAGTTCACTTTAAAGACCGGTTTTATTGCCTAAATTCTAAACCTATTGATTTCCAATGAATGTGTAACCTATTAGACACTAGTGAATACTACAAAAACATTAAGTTAATCATCTTTAGTCTGAGCATGTGTTTAAAGCAGATTGCTTACTTTCTAAGACTAAATCTTCATTAACTATCTTACTAAAAGTTATCATTTTGGAAACTTAACTCAGTTCAAATATACTTAAAGGGTTTAACAATACTTATCATGACTTGAAAATATTAAATGTTAAATGTAATAAAGTTCAAGGATGGTAAGTACTCATTACATGCCATCAAACCTATCCCAAACAAATACTGTCTTTTGTGGTTTTCCTTTCTTTAATTTGAAAATCTCCAAAGAAAACATTATATTTTCCTTCATACTTCTTAACAATTGCCCTGAAATGAAGTTTATTCCCCAGGTAGCTCTACCCTAAAGGTTTTAATTACATCATGGTGTGTTTGCAGCATCTTGCTAGAATAGTGTGAGATCATATTATGAAAAACGTCTGGCGCATAGCTACAGAACAGTAATGCAATTAACAAGGTAGGTTAATAAGTCAAATCAACACTGCTCAAATCCTGTTTTTTTCTATCTACTACCTGGGTGATTTGGAGCAGACTCATTGTCCTCATTTAAATTGTATTTGTTTTAAATAAAGGCTGTTGGGAGGATTAAAGGAGATAATTCATGCCTGGAAGAGTGCTAGGCAAAGTAGCTAAATATTGATACATTATTATGTATATAACTACAACTATATAAGGAATTAATTGCTATAGTATGCTTTACAGGCTCCTAATAATTTATGAATAACTAGGGAAAAACATGTTTTGTTAAAATATTAGGTCAGATTTTATTACATTTAAAGAAACAGCAGTTTAACTAGGAATGTTAAGTAAAGATTTGAAATTCCTTTTGGTTTGGATCTAGGTTCTTTTACCTGGAAGGTGGTTAAGGAGCAGTAGGCCTCCACCCAGGAAGGCGCAATCTCTCAGGACTGGACCTGGGTAAGCAGTTTGCATAGGCCCACCAGTGCCTGGATTCAGAGCATGGAGTCAGAGACAAGAAGAACAAGAAACCAAGGTTTCAAACCACCACAGGGGAGGGTGGCAGTCAGGTACCGAGACAATCAATAGATGGCAAAGGGAAGGCTGAAACGTTTGCTGGTACACATTTGGAGTCAATGGGCTACCTGTAGCTTTCTCATGAGATCTGACTCCTGGATGAGGAAGCCATGTTTAAAAGCTGGAAACTGGAGTAGGTAAGGTAGTGCCTTCCTAGCTTCTATTCTTACTATACTGCATTGACTGTGCCGAACATAATGCATTATTATTCTAGACTAAGACACAACACTCAAGGTGACATACCCTATCCTAAAGAAGAAAAGCACACATTTACATTCCCAAGACAAATAAATAAAAAAGCATCTCTCAGTAGCCAAGAAATATAAAACAACCAACCACCAACAGCGTATATAACAGAGCACAGAAATGTGGTAATACTACCAATAATAAAAAGCAATATGATCAACAATAAAAGTAGAAGCAATGGTGGATGTAGGCCTACTCAGTTTTGGACCTTTCAGAGGTTGCTTAGGGGAAATAGCAAGTTAAAAAAAAACAAACCACAGCACAGGGGCTGGGTGCCCGTGGCTCACACCTGTAATCCTAGCTACTCAGGAAGCTGAGATCTGAGGACTGCGGTTCAAAGCCAGCCCGGGCAGGAATGTCTGTGAGACTCTTATCTCCAATAAACCACTAGAAAACCAGAAGTGGCACTGTGGCTCAAGTGGTAGAGCGCTTGCCTTGAGTTGAAGAGCACAGGGACAGGGCCCAGGCCCAGATTTCAAGCCCCATGACTGACAAAAAAAAAGAAAAGAAAACAGAAAAATATCAAATCAATAAATTCGGATTGTGTCTGAAATGAGTCATCTACAAAAAATGATCTTTATTGACACTTTTTTATCCTAAATGAGGCAGAAGAAATTCTATCTTGCTCCAACTCACAATGTGCTATATATTCATCTTAGGTAGCAGCATAGAATTTACAGTGGAGGTCTTGTGTGCTCTCCTTTTCCCTCTTTTAGAATATTAATCTACATCTTAATATTTCTTTCATTTAAAAAAAACTTTTAGATTCCACATAAGTAAGATTACATATTTATTACATGTGAAATCTAAAAATGTAGTTATATTGAGCAGGAGACTTAATAGGTGGCTACCAGAAGTTGAGAAATGGGAGAGAGAGAGAAATGGTGAGGATTAACATGTAGAAAATAACCAGGCTAAGTGATATGTGCCCATAATCCCAGTTATTTGGGAGACAGACATAAGAAGACTGTGAATTTAAGGTCATTCGGGGCAAGGTTAATTTAATAAAAATTAAAAAAAGAAATAAAAAGAGAAATATCAGTGAACCCAGCAAAATAAAAAGAGAAATATCAGTGAACTCAGCAAAATAAAAAGAGAAATATCAGTGAACCCAGCTCAAGTGGTAAAATGCTTGTGTAGAAAGCATGAAGTCTGGGGTTTGATCCCCACTTCCAGCAGGGAAGTAACATTTCCGCCAGCCTGGAGAAACAAGTTTTAGCAAACTATCATCCTGCATGGTGGCCATAATTAATAGTTAGCAATAATGCATATCTCAAAATCGATTAAGAAATAGATTTTAATACCGCCCTACACAAAGATAATGATGGAAGTGCAAATCAGTTTTACTAAAACTTCCTACAATTCCTGTATCAATCAGAGCACCATATGATGACCCACAAATGTTTGCAAACGTTATGTAAATTAAAAATAAGTTAATAAAATGGAGAAATACTGGATAGTAATTTTTCTAAAATACTTTAAGACATTCTCTAAGGCATTTCTAAGTAGATAGTTCAGAAGAAAATTAACATCAGCTCTTCAAAATTGATCATTTTCCCTGAACTGAATATGACACACACACAGTAACAGACAGTAATATATCTCTCTAAATATGACAAACACATAGCCCAAGAACCACATTCCTCTTTCTGTACATATATCCATATTGCCATACATGGATGAGTAATGAATTCGCAGCTCCTACAATTTTTTTAAGAAAGACCAACTATGAGCCAGCTGAAGCAACAGAGTGTGTTGATTTGTCTTGTTGTCACTCTGAGATTGTTATTGTTGTTTTGGCTTGGGGTATTTTTCTGTTTTGTTTTTGTTTTACAGCTACTGAGCAGAGAGCCAGCAGCCGGGATGGTACTTACTGATGGGTAGAGGTAGCCTTCTCCATTCATGGCTATATACAACCCTGTCTTCACTCCCTGGATAGCAACGACGCGTAGTCCCACTGGGATGAGGTTGAACAGTGCTGTAAAGACAAAGGCAGTCTGTCACCCATGGGTGCCAAGAAGCAGAGCATTGTAGTACCGTCTTTTTCTCTCATTTCTCTTATTTACGAAATATCATCTCTCTCTCTCTGAGAAGTTCCATTAAAAGACTTCAGAATTCTCTTTAGAATGAAGAAGTTTCTGCCACAGGTAAAATTAGCGCTTGAGTTTTAATGTGTACATCTGCTTAGCAGTCTTGCCTAGAGCATTCTGAAGAACAGGTGGGATAAGAACAGAACCAAGCCTACTTCTGCTTCTCAGCCTCTGACACCATTAGATTCCAAAAGAAATCAGCAGGAAGAGTGTCAAGAGCAGAATCTGAGGTGCTACACATCTATTCTCCTCTTGCCTGTAGAAGGTATCATTTGCCATTGCCACATTCTGTAGGCCAGAAGTTAGAGAGGTAACTCCAAATTGAAATTTCCTTTAGCAAACCCTCTTCTTCAAGTGCCAGATAAGCCAGAAAAAGATATACATCTGTACCAGGAAATGGATACTTGTGAGAGGGGAGGGTGAAGCCAAGGGTAAATGACTAGAAGAACAAAGGGGAAAGGTGGAGAATGCAGGCAGGAATTCACTGGATCTGCCACAGAATTGAAGGGGTGGGACAAAGGGCTGCAGTGAGGACACAGTGAGAACACACATGAAGATGCATTGTACCCATAAACTGCTATGTTAAATGCAAAAAAAAAACTCAATTCATAACCTAGGAGCTAGGTGCCGGTGGCTCACGCTTGTAATCCTAGCTACTCAGGAGTCTGAGATCTGAGGATCACAGTTCAAAGCCAGCAGGGGCAGGAAAGTCTGAGAGACTCTAATCTCCACTTAACTATCAGAAAACAGGAAGTGGCGCTGTGGCTCAAGTGGTAGAGCGCTCGCCTTGAGCGACAGAGCTCAAGGACAGGGCCAAGGGAAGGAGTGGTAGGAGGGGTGGGTTGGGAGGGGTGGGTGAGAATGTTAAGAGAATAAATTGGTCAAGATGCACTGTATTCATGAACTGCTTCAGTGAATGACAACTCCTTTGTGCAACTACTTAAAGATAATAAGAATACATTTAAAAATCAAAGAAGTACCCAAATAAATGACACACAAACTTTAGGGATAGAATTTTTCTTTACTTATATCTTATAAAACTATGAATAAAAATTATGAGAAAAAGTGCTCAATATTTTACCTAATAGATAAGAACATATTTTCATGTTTTATTGATTCCCTTGCTAATAAATCATTTGTTATATTTTTTCACCCAGTGCAGATAGTAATGTTATATCCAGTACTTGATTTTGGGTATTGATATTGGTACTTTTAACATGAGTTTAATGCATTTCTGAGCCAGTGTTACCTGCATACTGTTTGCGGAGTCTTCTAGCACCATTCCTAACCAAAACTACTTCATGTTTTCTTTTGATTTTTGTTATAGATTCATTGATAGATTCATTATCTGTCCCTACTCTGTTGTTGTTGTTGTTGTTTTTAATGTCATATCTAATACCAAGCAATACAACCAGGCTAGCACAGGCATTGTAAATACTAGATGTGGATGTAACTACTTAAGTAAAATATCTTAACTTCAGGCCTTTGTCTCACAAATCTCTTGAACTTTTTGGGCCATTTTAACTTCCTTCTCTGGGTCTCCTCGGTGCATAATTAAAAAGTGACTTCACCAATCGTGTTTTATTTTGTTCTCAGGGACATGTTTTCTTTTAATAGGGTGAAGAAAGTTATACCCTCTCTTCCAGTCATTATATGTTACTGTTCCCAAGGCCCTACGATGTCTGTGCCTCTCAAATAATGGAGGGAATCCAGCATGCCATGGCATGCTGAATGCAAGAATGCTTGCAATTGTCATTTTTTGTTGTTGTTGTTTGTCCTTTTGTTTTTGTTTGTCAGTCATGGGGCTTGAACTCTGGGCTTGGGTGCTGTCTCTGAGCTCTTCAGATCAAGGCGAGCGCTCTACCGCTTGAGCCACAGGGCCACTTCTGGTTTTCTAGTGGTTTATTGGAGATAAGAGTCTCAAGGACTTTCTTGCCAGGGCTGGCTTTGAATCGTGATTCTCAGATCTCAGCCTCCTGAGTAGCTAGGATTACAGGCGTGAGCCACCAGCACCTGGCTTCGTTTTGTTGAATATTAGTTTTCATTTTGCAAACTATTGTTGGGCTGTCTTCTCCTGGGGTCTGAGGAGCTATGGTAACCTCATTAGTATTTTTTATTTTAAATGTGAGGACCAGGATGCACCTTGCCATTGTAGCCCAGTACTGCTTCTTTATGCTCACTTTTATTGTAATGCCTGAAATACCCCCATCTCCCTTATGTCTTGAAAGGATACCATAGGATGAAGCCTATTCTGTGCAAAATTTTAATGTTAAAATGTCATAATTTGCCTGTCAATGTACCCTATCTACACGAACCTATCCTAACAATTCTAACCTAATTATTTACACCTTTCTATACAGCTGTATTTGCAGGTGCCATATAAGCTGAATGGGACAATTGCAGATGGGGATTCTATCTCCTGAAACAGTGTAGTATAGGAAATAGATAAATTCTAGAGGAATTCTAGAATGAACATTAAAAATGCCCATATTTAGAAGTTAGTCTAAAATTCTAGAAGGTAGTCCATGTTTATAGACATTTAACCAGTATGAAAAAATGATAGTATTTTTCCAGAGTTTGGTTAGAGATTTAGATTACAAAATACGTTATTATAATCCCCAGAATGGTGATAGAAGGAAGGTCATCGAACCACTGTGATGTGGAAGACCCTCAGGCTGATCCTGCTAGACTTGTGTGCTAGTGACACATGTGCTCATTGAGATACTGTATTTTTCTGCTGTCTTCAAATTCTAGGTAGTTATAAAGCAATGCCACAAAGCCCAGGGAAGTAAGAAGGATAAAGATATTTCTGTGGCTTTGTTTATTCTATCCTGACACATTATTAAAACTGGCTGTGTTCATGAAATAAAATAGCCAGCCCCAGCATCCGACAATTAAATCATAATCCTCTGGAGCAGAATTTAGGGATAAGGAACTTTTTTATAAAGTTAATGAGATGTTCCATCTAAGCGAGAACAGCCATCCTGAAACCCTATAGTAGGGAGATGTCAATTGTTACCCCTCATGATCTATGCTGAGGTGTTGACAAGGAGGTGGGTGGGTTTAGTGCTTTCCTATGCAGCTTTATCCTGCTACCAATCTTAGATCATGGGATTTGAAAGTTCAGGTCTTCGGTGTTACCCTCTGGTGACTTCTAAGATGATATCTGGGTGAGTTTTAGATTATTTTTCCTTGTTTTCTCTTATTCGCATATAACTAATGTATTCAGGGAATTATTTTACAATGCCAGTTATTTATGAATTATTTTCTCACCCCTTCCTCAAATCACAAAGGCTTCTAATTAAGATGTGTGTATTAGTTGCACTTGGAAGATTTTCCCTTGAGGAGAAATATTCTATGTTTAAGTATCATGGCAGCGTGGAAATGTCAGCATTTCTAGTACACACTTATTTTTCTAAAATAAAAAAAGCACAAAAAATAAACCTTTTCATTGCTAATGGTTCTCCTAAGATTCCAAAGGCTATCTTAATTAGCCAGAGGAAAAGACAATCTTAAAGTTTATCCTGAAACTGATGGGTTTTGATTGAAAGGGGTGGCTGTACACAGAAGCGGAGTTCACTAATAGTTCCTGTTGCTTTTACAAATCTGCTATGATCCTGCCAGTTTTCATTATATCTTATATGTCTACAATTGGAATAGAATACTGAAAAGAGCACTTTGATCTCACTCTTCAAAATTTTTGCAAATGTTGAGATGGTAACAAAACGAACCACTTGGGTTTAGAGTGCTTACACTACAAAAAATAATGTGTAAGAAAAGAAGCTGTGGGCCAGACTTCTTCATAGGAATTCAAGACTTCCTGGTGGGACTCTGATTTGACTATTCTCTGCTCTCAGACAGGGGCATCTGTGCTGTGTCCTTAGGAATGTTTCTTAGCAGCAGATTTTGAGGCAGACAAACATGGAAGAGGGATTCCATTTCTTCTAGTAGAGACATAGAACTGGAAGAAAATGCCACAGGCATTTAGGGAAGAGGAAGCAGAGCATCTTTTAGGACCTCAGCTTTCCAGTTTCATTTTTATATTCTTCAGCTAACCAGACCCAAATATGTGCACATGTATATAATGTCGACACCAGCAGTGAATGTCTTAGAAAATACCATGGTGTTTATTCAGTTCTAAAAGGGATAGGCTGTTAACAGACAATGTCTTTATGATAATTCTCAATGTGACATTGATTCTCCACATGGAGGGCTTACAATTTGTCTGGCATGAACCCTTACAATCTGCCCTCAAAAGATGAAAGAAAAGTGTCAAAGAAAATTCATAAAATCATTGTTTGAAGAAAATTAGTTTTCTAAGCAGTCCCATGGTGTAGCATTTTCCTTTAGCGGTGGATGATTTTCTACTTTTTAAAACAGAAGAAAAGGTTATCACAGTAGGGGTGAGATGGTAAAGCTTTTTGATCATCAAAGCTCAAGCAATAAGAAGTTATGGAAATCTAGTTCTCATGTTCAATTAGACTTTGGACAAAGGTAATCAGAGAATACTTAAGACATTGGACTCCATATATTTCTGAGTTCCATGCCTCCTAACAACTGAAAGAAATAATTAAACAAAAATGCTTTTTGGAAGGATTTTAAGTGGCAAAAGAAAACGTATTAGTTTGAGCCATAAGGAGCTGACACCTTTTCTAGGTTACTGATGTTAAAGTACTAATCATTTTAAAATACCCACCCTAATAACAAAATCCCAATAAGGATGAACAACACTTGGCATAGTTCTTAAAAATAGAAATCTCTCTCACTATGCTTGAATTTTATCTTCTCTTTTCCTAAATATGAAGAGAAAATACAGCAGCAATAAATCACTGAGGAAATGGTAAAAAAATGTATTACAAATTAAGAGAGATATAGAAGGGACTAGAAATTGAAGAGAAAATGAAGCTAAATAAAGAAAAATATTAAAAATGAAAGAAAAATGGAATCAGTACCAAAAATCTATAGTAATGGTTGGAAAAGCATTGATATTTCACATAGAAATAGCACACATAAGCATAGTGCACGTTACATAATAAGCTAGTCTCAGAATCTGTTACTGAAAATTTCATTACTAGAATTTGAAATCCAAAGTACCTAAAATTTTATTGTACATATTCTAAATTTCTCTTCATGGACTGAGGTTCTATCTATGAAGAATAAATAATAAATGGGTAGAAAGTAAGACTAGAAATACTTCTAATAAACTACCCTGACAATAATAGTAAAGAGCAGAATTTACATTAAACTGGAAGGAATCATGTGTCAATATGAACAAAAGTCTTAACTACTCAAGAGGCTGAGATCTGAGGATTGCAGAGTGAAGCCAGTCCAAGAAAGTCTGTGAGAATCTTATTTCCAATTAACTAACAAAAAGCCAGAATTGGAGCTATGGCTCAAATGGAAGAACTAGCCCCGAGTAAAAGAAAAAAGTCAAGGGACAGTGTCCTGACTTCAAGCTCCAGTACTTACACACACACACACACACACACACACACACACACACACACACACACACATACACACACAGAGTATTAAAAGAATATACACATATGAATGTAAGCTAAGATGTACATATTTTTAATTAAATAATCTACCCTGACTTGATTTTGTAAACTGGTTAAACACTGCATAAGTGTGTTTAGAGGTACACTGCCTACATATCCTCTTTATTCTCTTTGCTTATCAATTGCAAAGAATTTTAAAATTATATTTCTGTTCATTGATTCACCTATCCTTTAAATTTCCCTGGGTATTATTAAGAAGCTAATAAAATATTACATTCAGAAGCAACATCTGTTTTTATGTTGATACACGAACACCATTTTACATTTGTGATAACAAGATTAACTGATTTTTCTAGATAGGACAATCACGGGGAGAGAAAAATAGGGCTCTTAGTGTATAATGCTCCTGAAACTTCTGCATTTACATTGCCATCATCTGGTCTTAGTAACATTTAAATGGCACTCTAGAGTGTAAAGTCTGTAGAGAGAAACCAACATAAGGAAGTCTTTGCAAATGTGCCTTTAACGGTTATTTAAAGAGCTAGGTATCTTCTCCAGACTGGCGTAACGGAGGCCAGGCCGAAGGTGATCACTTACTGGAATTCGTGCTGTCATCCTTCGTTCCATCGAGAGCTCCATCAGGGTGCATTTGCAAGTAGTAGCCTTGCCTGCAATACAACCTGGTCACTATTCCCTTGAGCTGGGGATCTGCAAAGCAAGCACAGCGATGGTAAGCCTCAACATGTGTTAGCGTAGACGTTCCTTTGCTTTTCCTCTGCTGCATCTTCTCATCTCATAAGAGGACATTTTCTAGAAGTAGCCCATAGATTTTATAACACTTACACTATTTGTCCTATATATCCTCCAAGCTGGAGTACATTATGTCATAGAAGGAATAGAAAGACGCCATCTGTGAGCTACAGCAAAATGGAAACTAATACCTGTGTGCTGGTATTATTTATTAAAATGGCCAAATCATGCTGCAAATTTAACTTATATTTAAACTGCAATTCATAGAAGCTAGATTGCATTCCCAATCACAGGTGAGGAATCTTGCCACGTTGTAACACTAAGAAACTCACATTAAAGGCATTTAAACAGAATTTTCCTTTTTTCTCTTATTTAAATTGACAACCCTCAAATAAGAGAAACCTGTCTGGTTTAAAAATTCGTGTTGGCATTTGAACGTCCTTAGAACAAGACCTGCTAGAAGAAGCTCCCCCTAACCTGTATGGAAATATTTGTGGTGTTTAGACGCAGACACACATGAAGTTGGAGTCCCTAGTTCTGAACTCAGGAAGAAGTCAAGAGTGATTGCCTGTTCAGAAGGACTATGTGTCTCTGGCTTCAGTCTCCAAGACAAAACAAAGCCAGAATCCAACATAAGAGCCTTGCAGAGAGATCAGGTCTAAAGCAACATACTCAACAAAGGAGACAAATTAAACAGACAAATGTACTCATTTGTATAATTGCCAAGGACAAATTACACAGCACAGGTTCTGAATAGTATTATTACTGACTTTACAGTAGTAGGGATCGAACTCCTTACTGCAGTCCCTACCTCTCTTGCATTTGGGGCAGGTCCCCAGTTCTTTTGCTTGGAATTTTTTTTTCACATAAGATCGTAAGCTAACTTTTCAAAGGGGGGTAGTCTCAGACTGCAGTCCTCCTACTTCCGCCTTCTAGGTAGGTAGGATGACAGTCCTGAGTGCCACACTCCATCTCAGAATCTGATGATTGGTGATAGGTGAGAGGCAGAAGCCAGTGGAAGTTAAGATAACAAAAGGGTGAAGTCGTACATCTATTCGATGACTCATACCAAGAGTAGCCCCCATCCCCATGAAGTGTTTCCCATAGAGACAGCTGTATATTGGAAAATAATTATTTGCCTATGGCTTTTCTAAGGCCACCCCCAATAGGAGTCAGGTCTGTCATGGAGCATTCTATCTCTCACCATGACAACCAGGTTTTCCCTACAATGGCAGAAGGAAGGCTTCATGCAAATGGATGAAAGCACCCTGTCCACACTACAGGCTGCTGCTCCACTCGAGCCCCAGCCTCATCATAATAACTGGACAGATGAAACAAGTGGACTCCAAGCACACAACACAGAACAAAGGCAGAGCTGCTTCACACGAAATACCCTCGGGCTTTTGATTCCTTCTCAGCAATGAAAAAGTACAGCAATCAGTGTTCGGCTGAATGTCCAACTACACTCTAACCATCAGCCACATGGAGAGTAGGGTTTGGGACAAGATCTTCTGGAACACACAATGCCCATCAGTGTAGCTCAACAAGTCCAGATTTAGATTTTTTTTTAAAGACTAGGCTTTTCAAAAAAAAAAAAATACGGAGTGACTAGTAGAGATAGAATACCTTTATTTCCCATCCTGCAGTACTTAGATCCTACCACTCTAAAGCGTGCTACAGTAAAAGGAATCCTGCTAGGCCATCATCTGCTCATCGCCTGGGAAGACTTAACTAGCTAAGAACTTACTGTCTACTGAAGACTTTCTTTCCAGAGTCTGTTGCATCTGCTGTATGCTCTGCTCTGAACACTGGTATCATGAACATAAACAAATGCAAGCAAACTGATGGGGGAGAATTCCTTAATTGACATGAAAACATACAAAAAAAACCAACTTCAGAGATTGGCAGGTTTTCTATCAGACTGTCATGTTCTGGCATCACTAACTTTTAAATAATCCTACGTTTGAGCTCTTCCTTCTGGAGTGGAGTCTACTAGATCAAGCAAAGCAGGAAGAAGAACCACCCCCCCCCCACTGCACCCCTACTCTGCCCCAACAAGACCTGTATACTTACAGAGAGCAATTTCCCACCATGCCTCACTTCAGTCGACAGAACTAAATCCCACTGCAAAATTCTCTTTAAATTTGGATCCATCTAGTTTCACAACACTGGGTGTTTTTATCTTAGGAAAGTGTAACAATGTTGTGGGCTCTTCTTCCATGTCAGACATCCTTCTCTGAAAGTTCTATGATGAATTCTTCGGCTCCTCACTACAAGTCTACTTAATGGGAATTTTAGGATGAAGAAATATAAGCAGAGTGATTAAATCACTTGGCTAAAGGTGCACAACTACTAAGTACCAGCGTAGAGGGTGGATCACTCAGTTCTGGTACAGCCCATGAGACACAGGACACACATCCTCCATACACTGAAGTATTAAAGGAAAACATCACAGAACTTAAAACGCAAGCCAGTCTGTCAAAGAAACGAATCAACAAACTAACAAATAACACTTCAATGGTAGAATTTTAAAGCTCAGCGCCAGAACTGTGTCTGTACCCAACTCCCAAACACTAGGCGGTGAGGATGTGACCCCAAACCATCACAGCAGGATTTGAAAGGATCGAAGTTTTTCAAGGTCTTTTAAGATCCACCCCACTTCCTCACCGGGCCACTATCCTGAACATTTTCTATGCCGTGAAATCTTCACCGAAATCTCACACTCTGTACTGCAAGTTTAACACTTCCTCCAATACCGTTTTCTCTGTATATCTGCCCCCAACCACCTCCTGGCAAAGGTGCTATCACGCCCGTGGAAATTTACCCTTTCTATGAACACCATCAGTGCCCTAAACACAGAGCTTGTGTTTGCATACTACCTAACAAACTCTCTGGTTCCTAAGGCTGCTTTTCTGCAACCTTCTTCCTTCCTCTCCCTTTCCTGTGTTTACTGCCAGCTTCTGATGACCTTTCAGAGAGGATCTTCCTGCCTGTAGTTCGTCCAAAGGCATCAGATCTGGAATCATGCAGAGACGCTTCACCCCCATGCATTATATACACATCCCACAGCAGTAGGCCCCATCTTCTCTGCCGGCCTGCTCACGCTGCCCACTCAACCCATTCACGAAACTTCACTCATGTCTCAGTGGGTTGCCTACAAGCATTTCACCCTCTCTCACACTTAATCTGTTCTCCTTTATCTGGCTGGAAAACACTCACCTGGCCTGCATGCCCTCTACAACCGCACAGGTACGAACCCATTCCCACATACACATCTTTCCCTAACTCATGTTTTCCTCATTCCCAAGTCCATCACATTTCACTGTCTCAAAGATGAACTCCTCACATCTCGACTAAAGGCAGCCTCCTCTCTGATATTTTGTGATGTCATTCATCAAAAGTTTAACCTATTTCTTATACATGAAAAGCATGGCATTTTGAAACATAAATACATTTTAAAAGTACAGAAATCAATACAGAATGCTTCCAAATACCTGTCACTACTATTTAACAGCACGTAGGTTTTTTTCTTCATCCATGATTTAATTCCTATTTGTGCAACTGTATGATTAATATCTGTCTCACAACATGCACTGTACATTTCATGAAGAAAATGAAAATGTGTAGCATCATTTATCATTACCTCTCCAGTGTCTAAATAAATAGGAGCTGTGCAATAAATATGTGTGATTGAATGGTGACAGCGTAATTTTCATGTTACTAGCAATAGTCAAAATGAATAACAAGTTGGGTGCTGGTGGCCCATGTCTGTGGTCATAACTACTCAGGAGGCTGAAATAGGAGGATTGTGGTTCAGAGCAAGCCTGGGCAGGAAAGTCTGTGAAACTACTTCTAATTAAATATTAAAGGGTCGGAAGGGGAGCTGTGGCTTAAGAGGCTACCTTGAGCTTAAAAGCTAAGGGACAGCATCCAGACCTTGCTTTAAAGCTCTGTTGGAAACAAAAATGGGTAGAACAGGAACATAGCCATGCAAAAAATAATATCCATTAGAAAATAAATGTAAAAGAAATATGTTAAATATAGTTAAATATAGTATTTTGTGATGATCGTCAGAATATTTACTCTCCAGCATTTTATTCACTGAATATTATTTCATGAGGACAAGCTAATTTTATCATGAAAACACAGAGATTTTAACTATACTATACTAACTTTTGTTGAGTAAAAATATCCCACATATGCTTATAAATAATATTGCAATCACAAGTCCAAGTAGTGGCAAATAAACACTAGTCTATAGTGTCAAGGCTTCCATTTATTAGTTTATTTTTATGTCCAGTTACGCAAATGCTCACTATGACCCTTATCACTTAGAAAACAAGCTGTGGTGGGAGGTTGCTATTTATAGTTTAAGATCACTCCTCCAATGTTAAAACCTAGCAAAATACAACAAAACCTTTCCCCCCTGAGGCCAGAAATACACATCCAAATTGTCAGAAAAAAAAAAAAAAAACGTGGAAACAAGAGAACATAACATTCCTAGATCTATTGAGACAGGGAAGGGGACCACAATCTCAATGCCAGGCTACCATGTGCTATCAGTGAGCTCAACTGTATGGTATTTCATGTCGTTAATGAGAGAAAAAGTGTCAATGGGAGACCAAGGAAACCATTCAATAGCTAGCAGGGACAAAACCCCCAAGACAAGCTTAAAATGTTAAAACCATCTCAGATATAGATCTACTGTGAGAACCAGAGTTAGAGAGATCCTCACCCTAAGTGAAAATTATACCTTGAAATATAAAACGGTAGATATATTACGTTATGTGAAACAAGCATACTTTTAGGCACACTCTGGTATCTTCTTTAAACTAATGGGGTAAGAAGTAAGATAACTTGAGTCTCTTTTGTCTTAATTCCATTTTATTCCCATTTGTCTTCTGCCTTCTATTTACCATGCTATCTCATTTTATTATAACCTTTTTAGAGATACTCAC